GATGTCGGCAAAAATATCGACTGGAACCCCTGGCGCACAGCCCCACAGAGACAATCGCGAGCTTTCTCCCCTTTCTCGAAGCGAAATGAAGTGAAAATTCGCTGCGTCTGTCGCACGACCTGACCACTCGAACAAGAAGAAGTCAACTGAGTGCTTCGGTGACTTGAGAATAGGTGGCTGGGGTAGTTTGTGATTCTATTCCTGCTCGTTAACCCACACACACACCTCCGCCACTGGCCCACAATCACATATTCATAAGACACTTTAAACATCCGAGAGATACCTTGTTCAACTTCCGCATTAATGTTGATGGTTCTCAGTCGCAGCTCCTCATTCTCGTATATCATACCCCGCGAGGACTTTCTGTCGAGCTTTCGATTGGGCTTAACGCTGACATCACGACGACGTGCACGCAGCATACCCGCCCCACTGACACCCCCAACCCCAGCACTGGTAATCATTTTTTATTTAAAATTTTATCTGAAAAACTTGGGCCTCTCCCCTCCCTCCAGGTGCCGAGATCTTGCTCGTTCTGTTCCACCCCCCACTTCAACTCATCTCCCTTATCTCCAGGTTCATGGTTTTTTCTAAGAGTCTCGGAGGCCTCTTTTTCTCCATTAATTCACCTCAACCCCTCTCCCACAATTTTATTTCATCAGTTTCCGCTGGTATTTTTCTCTCCTGTTTTCTCCGCGCTTCGGCTGTATCTGAAATAAAATGAGACCACGGTATTTCATGTCTAGAGGAAAAATTATATGATAATTAAAGACGAGGGCAGGAGGCAATGCGAAAACATCGGTTTGTAAGTGGGGGGCAGCTGGAATTTTCCAGTCTAATCGATGCCGGAAACAAACAGCTCTGTATATTCGGTTTGTAGAAGTCGGGGGGGGGAATGTATTTGAAAACTACGGGGCATTTAATTTTAGATGGTGCGTCGATTCGATCGCACAGCCATCGAAAAAGAGTCTCTCGATGCACGTTCTTATACGCGGTAGCGCGATAAAAAAAATAAAGTACTGTGCTCTTTTTTCGCGTTCAATATTGCAAAGTGAAATAACATTTTCCGCCTTACCTCTGCCAGCACCACATACCCTCTATCCCTCCATTCTCTTTCACTCCTCCATCGCGCTTTTATTTTTACTCGTGAAATTTCGATCGAAAAACCAAGTCATTCGGATGGAAATGTATCCTTTCAACTGCACTCGTGGTGCTCCGTGTGAATTAAATTAATGACTTTCCTTCAGATGTGAAGTGGAAAGGGACTCGACATAATTTGATAAAGCCCCTCATTCTTCCCTCGCTCTCTTTGGTATTTCCCCTCACGTACACGTCCAGAATTTCAATTCCTTTTGTACAATTTTTTTTCACCTCCCCTCAGCAAACTCTTTTCCCTCATCCAACGATTTTGACTTTTTTATCCGTCTTGTTCTCAACTGCTCTGGTTCTGTCGCTGCGTTTGGCACTGGAGCAGAGACACGCGGCCTCTTCAATTTGGCGGGTTGGGAAAGAAAAAAAATTCTCAAATCCCCAACGAGCACGCGCCTCCTCGGCTTGGTCGGCATTAACTGCGTTCGAGTGAGCAACCAACCACACAGGCATTCTACCTCAACCTCATTTTTTCCCTTTCCCTCACCCCTGTCTTAACGCAAGTTCGCCTCACTTTTCGGTGCTTTCAAAGTACTGAACAGCATTTTCGATGGAAAAGTTGAGGCCGAGAGGGAAAACTGGCACATATACTATCAAACCAGACGGAATCACTGTGTCTTCATTCAGGCTTGGTTATACACATATTTATCATCCCCCTTCCTTCGTATTTTAACCCAGAGTCCAAACTACGTTATCTTGACGATCTAAAATTACCCGGACAAACTGAAAACACACTTTTCTGGCCTCCCTCGGCACCCCGCCTTCTCCACTTGCGTAGTTTGCGAGACTGGATTCATGAGACATTCCAATGTCCTCGGGAACGTCCAGAAGACAAAGGGGAAAGAGTTTTTAAATCGGGGGCGAGGGGGAGGGGCGGGGGAGGGTAAGGGTAAGGGTCACGTCCGACAACAGCGTCCGAGGAATTTCATCCAGGCGTCTGATATCCTTCGTCTATACTCACGCTTTTTTTTTTCGGTGTTTTTTTTTTCTTCGCGGAGAGTGGGCATTCTCGGGAGCTCTTTCTGGGTACACAGACTTCTGAAAAATGATCGGGGCGGGAGGGGTGATTCCAAGTTCATTGACTGGGAGAGGAGAATTTTCAGTTCGCGGAGTTTTCGGGGGTTTGAGGTGGGAGTATTTTTATTTTTAGTAATTTGTGAGTCAGTTTGAGGAATAATTGGTTGACTTGTCGTTATTTTGGAATATTTTTATAGGGATAGCGAATTATGAGTGACATTCGAACAGGAATTTTGCGGAAAATTGAGGAATTTTTCAGTATGAGAATCTGTGGAAAGTTTATACTAACGAAGTTGTTGAATATTTCACGAATTTCCGTGGGAAATTGAGGTAGAATTTACTATCGATTGAGTGAATTCGGTTTTGAAATCAATTGCGCTTGAATTTTCAGAATTTTTCAGTGTTTTTATTGGCATATGAAATTTACATTCGGTTTTGAGTGGATTTTTCCAGATGTGCAGGATTTCTGAGTATTTTTTTGTGATTTTTCAATGGATTCCATTCGTCGAAATAGTGTACAAATCACATTGTTGAGATAGAAGTCAAACTCAAGAAAATCTTTTCATTTTTTCGTCAAATTGAAATTCGAATGTGCACTGAATTCACCCAAAACCAAGTGATTGAAACCCCGGACGAAATTATCCAGAGTTATTCATAAGAGAAAACCTTCAATATTCCCCCAACTTTCATCGAAAACTCGAGGTGAAACTCCCCATCAATCCATCACCGCGCAACCAAAATCGCCCCCCTCATTCGACCGCTCCGAACATCTTTTTTCACCCACTCCGTGTACACACCGAAATTCCTTTAATCCAATCTCAAGCCTCACCAGAGAGCTTTGCATGCTAAACGTTCGCATAAATATGTGATAGCACGCGTCTACCTTCCACACACCCCCTCACCCCTCTCCCCACCCCCCCTCGACACCGACGATTGAGTCTAGATTGCACGCAAAGGGGGTTGGAATATTTAGTTGATGTTGGGAATGGGGCGTGATTCGTGATGCGGGTATGCAGCCCATTGCCATTTAAATTATTCCCTATCTGCGACACTTGTCTACTATGACCCAAGTGGGATAATTATCTCGGTGAATAATCGATACATTTTCCCTGAGTATATTTGTCGGTTCTAACACGTGACTATAAACGCCTACGGGGTGATTTCTCTCCACTCCTCTCCCCCGAGCCCTCGCAATCCCTTCGCCCCTTTGTAACGGTATCCTTATCCTAATTGGAGTGGAGTTTTCATTGGGTGGATTTACTTGATAAGTTTTTCACGTTAGATAACAGAAGGGGCGGCAGGGGGGAACGAGGGGGATGAAATTGAGCCTTATCCATTTCGCCGTGTCATCTCGTTTCATCAGGAGTGTATTCATCGTTGATTGGAATTTTTCTTTTGTTGTCGGTCGGCTGGAGGAGGGGGGAGGCGAGAGGGG